CCCCAACAGAGCACAAGACCCAACCTACACTGGAATTACCACCGCCATTCTATTAGGATGCAAGTTTAGGAGTTACATGGTACACGGACATGTCAGTTGCTTTTTTATGTTAATAACCTTTTGGGAACTATATTTTCATTTTCTCAAAGGGACCAATCCAGTGACCTATTTTCCTGCTAGAATAAAACTGAATACATTTTGGAAGAAGACAATCTAGAGTCCCTATAATTTTTAATCCATATTGACCATCATTCAATAAAAAAGTGACAACATGCCAATAAACAAGACAAATGAATAAAAACCAGGTGCTTCAAAATAAATATTAAAAATATTCTAAGAAGAACAGGAATAAAATGAAAGATCATACCAGAAAACCGAATACAAAAAAGAGAAATAAAAATAATCCAGTTTAAATGTAGAAATGAAAAATAAATTAAAAACTCAGCAGATGGACTAACAGTATTGGACACAGCAGAAAAGAGCATTAGTAAACTGAAAGATGGGTCAGTAGAAAAAAACATATTAGAGAATGGAGAAAAAAGTGGTAAGAAACACAAAAACAGTGAGAGAGCTATATAGGAAATTACAAAAAGACCTAACGTACGTAACTGAAATCCAAAAAAAGGATGTAGAAGAAATTTCTGAAGAAATATTTCATGATAATTTTCAAACCTGATGAAAGACTATGAGCTACAAATCCAAAAAACTTTGCAAATCCTAAACATGGTAAGTATAAGAACAATCACACTTAGGAAATCATAAAAAGACTGCAGGATGCCAAGAATAAAATAAAGTATTAAAATCTTTCAGGAGGAAATAAAAGATATATTTCTTTCAAAAAGGAAAAAAGTAGGGGCTGGCTGAGTGGCTCAGTTGGTTAAGAACACGAGCTCTGAGCAACAGGGTTGCCTGTTTAATTCCCATATGGGCCAGTGAGCTGCGCCCGAGCTGAGCTGTGCCTGAGCTGGTGAGAGCGCCTGTTCGACTCCTGCATGGGATGGTGGACTACGCCCCCCACACACACACACACAACTAGATAGAAAGCGGCGACTCGACTTGGAGCTGAGCTTGCGCCCTCCACAACTAAGACTGAAGGACAACAACTTGACTTGGAGCTGATGGGTCCTGGAAAAACACAATGTTCCCCTTCCCCAATTCCCCAATAAAAATCTTAAAAAAACAAAACAAAAAAAAGTTCTCAAAGATGTTTTAACTGGTAGCTTATGGATATCAAGCAGATATCCATGATAATGATACATTTAACTTTATATATGAAAACATTAAATTTTTATATTTATAGGTGTTCTTCACTATAAAAGTGATAGTTAATGATAGATATCATTAAAATATCCAGCACAAATGTTCCCCAAATCATTGGTTTGTTATTTATAGGTTTATATCTGAATTAATTCAGGAAAACCAATGTGTTCTAGACATTAGTTTTCTCATGGTCTCTTTCACCAACTTGTTCCTCAGACTGTAGATGAGGGGGCTTAACATGGGGATCAACACTGTGTAGATTACAGATGCCACTTTGACCTGATCAGCTGAGTAGCTTGATTTGGGCATCACATAAATAAACAAAACTGTCCCATAAAATAAAGTGACTGCAGTAAGGTGGGAAGTGCAGGTGAAGAAGGCCTTCCTCCTCCCCTCAGTAGAGCGTATATTCATGATGGAGTGGAGGATATGGCTGTCCTTTAATAGTAAGATGGAGCCTTTCCATTGCGATCACAAAATATGGTGAATGCTGCTGCCGAGTGCCATCCAATGGAAAGGCAGGGATCTTCAATACAGGAAGCGGCGTGTGGAACCTTAGTAACAGTGTGTGACAAGTTTCAACTTGATCGGTGCAGTCAGTCAGGTGTGAGTCAGGTTGAGAGAAGGTGTGTTTTAAAGTGTGCCATAAATCACCCTCCATTATGACAATGCTCTGTGTCACACATCGCTTCTGGTACAGCAATTTCTGTCAAATTAAAACATTACGGGGCTGGCCAAGTGGTGAGTTGGTTAAGAGCTGGTTTGGGACACCAGCTCTGAGCAGCAGGGCCCCGGTTCGGATCCCACATGAGGGCCAGTGACACTGCCCTCTACAGCTAAGATG